CACATGCCGGTTATTTAGTTTCTCTACAGGCAGTTTTACCATTTAAAAGCCTGAAATGCACATTCATGGAGCAGGGGTTGCAGTTAAATCCCACATTTGACAGGGAGGGTTTTGTTTTTTTTTCACCTTACACATCTAGTTCGAGTCCATAATGGATGGAACCCAGTACTGGTAGCCTGAACTGGATGGACAAGGAATTCAAATTAACTCCTACTCCCAGCACTGTCTTTGCAGAAATTAACTCCACTGTCCTAATGAATTTCCGCTGTTGTTTTGGTCACCCTGCTTGGAAATGTATGGCTCCTGGTCTACACTTGTGAACTAGAGACAAACACCACAGAACCTATCCAAGGAAGGCAAGACAAGCTACAAAACACCACTGTATTTCTCGTACTTCTTCTAAAACAACTGACATTTATAAAATACATGCAGTGATTGACAACTCCTAGCTAATTCACTGGCCTGGCTTCATTTTGTTGTGGAACAATCTGAAGCATCTGTTAATACAGTGCTTTCTGCAGGAGAGCGAGAATGGGTTTCCAAACAGGTTAGCTAGTTTAAAATAAAAAATTTTTTTGCAGAATAAACCGCCTGTAGTCAAGTCATGACTTTACATTGGCCATGTAACATTCAAAAGCATATCTTATAGACAGCTTTCGTGATAACAAAAAGAAAGCTCTTTGATCAAATAAAGTTCGGCCTAGCAAATTACAAGTTAAGAGAACACTACAGACTTCAATATCAAAAGGTCTTTAAAATCTAATCCTGATTCAGGAGACAAAGTTACGGCAGTCCAAAAGTTCTGGATTTGTGTTATATACACACACACACACACGCACACACTCTCCTGCAGATCCTCAGGATCCACTTGTCTCTTGTTAGCTATGCAAGTATTGTGAAGCCACCAGTGATGTGGTCAAGTAGGATTCATTGAGCATATTAAGTGGAGTCACACCTGGCTTCAGATGAAGGCTGTGAAGAAAGGAAGAACGAAAGAAAGCTATCCATTGGTCTATCAAAGAAAGAAGAACTTGGCTAAATCATGGAATGTTAAAGAACAAAATTCAGGGCTTCGGCAGGTTGAGGCCGTGAATCCAGCTGGAAATTTGCAATATGGAACCTTGTAACCCAACCATTCCAAAAAAGAAAAAATCTCACAACTACAGAGCACCCTGAATTGGAATTAAAGTTTTACAATGTGCTGCCTCCCGGCACTCCGGAGGAAACACCCACGCACGCAGAGAGTAAGAGGGTTCTGTGGCTCAGCCAAGCTCGGTGCTTGACTTACCTTGGCTACGCTCAGCCACGGAGGGCTGTAATGTCGTGCAGCTTAAGTCACGCAGCAGAAGGCCACACAAATCATTTCGACTGAACAAGAAGGTCTACGAAAACAACACAGGATCAAGGAGAGTAGCTGAAACCTATTTGAGGGCAGCAGCGGTGGCAGCATATTTCAGGGAGCCGGAGTGGCAAGTGGGTGATTTCTGGTTTCTCTCTTCAAATATAAAGACTCAATTATCTTTGAACAGCTTGCTTTACACATGAATTGACACGTTTATTTTACAATAAATAACTGAAAGTTATCTATGTTTCCTTTACTGTTAATCTACACAAAGAAATAATAAACAGAGCTTGTCTACAAAAATGCAACTACTGCAGTCCTCAGAATTCAATTAAGCTAAAATAATTAATGCTTCCGCCATAATAAATTACTTTATACATTTGAGCCACTGAAGTTTTTATTCTTTAATCTTTTCCTTTTTATTTAATAAAAAAAAAAGTTTGTTTCAAAGTGTGTGCGGAGGGGGGTTGGTTAAGAGGGGAAAAAAAGGAGCATGATTTGCTGTTAAAATGTAATGGTCTCCTTTAGCTGACACAGCATGTAGAGTGTTTTGTGCCTTTGATTAAAATAGCATTTTAAATGCTTTGAACAAACATATCTCCCCATACTTCTAAGGGATTATTTTACATATTTCTTGGTGGAATAAAAAAATCCATTCTTCCTGTCACAGTGCAGAAGGGCTAAGAATATCTTTCGTCACATATAAAGTAAAAATACTGTAGGCTGCTGCATTATTACCAAAAAATAAAAAAAAACTAAAGGGAGGGGGCAGGGGTAGGGGAAAGCTGCCTTAGAGATTAAGTTTCCCTTTTATGAAATCGTATTTAGCCTCTTTTTTTAACAAATCTAACAACAATGCTCTACAGCCTCTCACTGGGAAATACCTTTAATGTTAAATGCAGATTCTGATTTTCTTGGCTAATGCAGAAAGCCTTTCTATTGAAATATAAATAAGGGGCCTGGTATATCCCACTAAAGCCTTTCCAGTGAATGACTTCTGTGGGTTTTTCATGGCTACCCTCCATGGCTTTTATCCTACCATTGAAAACTATCCTCTGCTATTAAAAAAAATAGAAGGACACCACCTTTTTATCTGAGAGTTCAGTTCCTAATTGAGAAAGCATTATTACTGCAGTATTTAGTGGTGAGTCCCTATCTGAGTGCAGTGCAGAGAAAATCCCAATCAATCTATAAACCCCTTTTATTTTTGTAAATTCAGAATATCCCATACACATTTCCATTTGATCTTCAGGTTAGTGTGAAAGAGATAAGGAGCTCTGGATTGGCTTGCTTTCTTTTTTTTTTTTATTCCTTTTACTTATGTGTGAGCATTTTTTCCCTCTGCAAATCTTCGATGTGGCAGTGCCCTGGCTGCCCTGAGTCTGACCCAAAGAATAGCCAAAGCATCATGAAATGGTGCACTAGGTTCTGGTCTGGGATTGGCCAACGGTGTGTTTTAACTATGGATTACATTTGGGCATGACGTTTGGCAATGTCAGAAAAGACTCTAGGCCCAATCCTGTCAGGCACTATGCACCTCCTCCAAGGTGCCAAATGCCTTCAACTCCCACAGAGGTCGATGGTTGTTGAGAGTGCTCAGCACCTTGCAATATGGGTTCAGTGGCTGCAAAATCAGGTGCCAAGGGCACACTTTGAGCTCTCTCTTGCTCCCATCAAAGTCAATGCCTGAATCAACTGATTTCAATGGGATCTGGCCCTTTAATAAGGTATTAGACCACAAAGAAGCCCTATCTGCCAGGAAATGCATTCACAAGGCCCTCTTGGAATCATGGGAAACGGGTGGGAGAACTACCATAGTGCAACCTGCTCATGATGCTGCCACTTCTGATGCCCAAAAAACTGCCACCTTCACATGCTCCACTTCAAAAGCTAATGCACTCTTGTGAGGAAATGGGGGGAGAGCATGTTCTGACTAATCACATTCCAATGGGAAAGACAGAAAAGTACCTGCTCAAGATCTAACTTGGGGGCTAAGTGCATTAACTGAGGGGAAGACGTGTGTCTGTTACAGTGCCTAGCTACAGAGCCTGGCTCTTCAGATCATCTGATAGAGACTCATGTGTTTAGCTTTGGAGGTTCCCCGATTCGCTCTCCAGTGTCAGCCAAGATAGCAGCTCTGACAGGGCGGGCGGCATAGCACACACCAGCAGTGGTTACATACTTCCTCTCAACAGAGGAAGCTCATCTGGAGCATCTGATGCCCACACTAGTTCAAATCCCACTTATGTAACAGCAGACACCAGGGCTTGAACCAGCAGCCTCCACTGTTAACGGCATAAGTCTCTGTAGCTCAAAGTAAACAGACAGCCGCTATAGCTAGCGGATGTAACCGACACACATTTTCTGTCGCTCAAGCCCCGCTGAGGACACGTAATACTCACTGACCCCACTGGGGTTGCGTTGTGGTCACTAGCGGAGAAGGGATACTGGGCCAGCGGATCTGATCCAGTATGGCAATTCCTATGGAAGCCAGCATACTGAAAGCAATAACTACATCCTGTTGCTCTTCGGTACTGGATGGAGAAAGTGGACTCCACAAAGAAGACAAGTTTGACTCAAGATCCCATGCTCTGATAGTACAGGAAACCCGCACACTAAGAGAGAGAGCAAGTCACATAACTGTCATAAGCAGTGTGTGCTTAGTAACCGAGGAAAGCATAGGTGCAGAGCAAAGGAACGCACTAGATACTTGATGATATAGAAAAGCTTTTCCATGCCGTGTACGCTGCAGAAAAGGTTTCAGAACAGCTCATCCAGGTGGATACAGTCCCCTGTAATGTCCTGGTCAGTGAGACCACTGGTGATCTGCTGAATAACTGCTGGCCTTGGGGCAGCTTTAACCTACCCATCCAATTTCTCCAAGAAATCCAAGCATTTTAGAAAAGGAAATGCCTGTAATCTGCTCTCCCAGGCCAGCGCGTGCTTGTCTCTACTTTCAAAAACTCCTTTTGGGGCATGCTTTTGAATAGCTCCCTTCCTTTCCGCCTACATCTATGAAAATCCAGGATTTACAGGGCATTGGTAAACACAGCCCCATCAACATGTCATTTGGATAATGAGACTGAAATTCACCCCACTGCAGAAGGAGTGAGGAAGGCCCTATACAGCAGGTAAGCCCCACTTTATTCCTCAGGACCAAATCCTCCTCCCATTAAAATCAATGGGAATATTGCCATTGATTTCAATGGCATCAGGATTTGGCCCTTTCCGCAGGCTTTAAGTGTTGCATAAGGCCTCTGCACTGGGATGAATTTCCCGAGTGTGTAATGTTCTGTTGTCTTTCTGGGCCAGCGGAACTATTTGCCTTCCGACTTGGGGAAGACACCACCAAAATGGCCTCTCTGACCCTGGGCCTTGAACTTTATTTGTGTGTACAGGCTGTATCTACAGCTATCCCAGAAGACCAACTTCAAACACTGAAAACAGTCGTGTCTCACTGACAGCTGGCCCTTCACAGAAAGCTATTGCCATATTAAAAATTGGTCAATATTATTTCTGCAGCCCTGACTAGTGAGGTTGCTCCAGGCAAATGGCTCTATAAAGACCTGCCACTGAAGACTTCGTTTCATAGCACTTTCTAGAGGGCTTGCTTTAAAAGATTACCTAGGTAGCTGATTGAGTGTAAAACATGCTGTACCTGCAATGTTCTCCTGCTTGGGGCAAATTCCTTTTGTAGGCGTGAGAAGACGGTCTTCTTCATCGGGTGTGACTTGGATCCCGATTTCCACTGGCTCTGACACTTTCCTGAGCTCGGAGCGGGAGGAGGGGGGAGGGCTGCTCTTATCCAGGCTCTTTTCATAGCAGACACCACCAGTGCCATTGCACTGTTTCTTCTTGTGCTCTATAAAAACCAAGATGTCTCCCAGGGGGAAGTTCATCTGACACTGTCCACAGGTTAACAAATCGGGGTCTGTCCCACCTGGGGCGATGCTGATGCCACCCGGCTCCGCTATTGCCAGGCTCTCATCTTCGTCAGCAAGCACCGTTTCCACATGGTCAGCCTCTGCTTTACATGGACAAGAAGAAAGAGGGAAAGGGGGTGGGGAGGAGAGAGAGATTGGTTTGAATGTTCATAGAATCTGAATGATGCCCCATGAGGTCAGCCAAAACAGCCTGATTGTATCTTTCTTTTCTTTTCCATGTCTTCCTCCCCGCCCCATAATGATTTCAATACATTTTGCAACCAAGACTGTCTGTGAAACAAAATGATAGACTGACCTGGCCTAGCTTTCCTGACAGCTCCTTCTAACTGCTGCCAGCACTGCAATAATATCAGCAAAGAGCCATTTTGATTGCTCAAGTTTCGTTCTGAAAGGGTTACTTTTTTGTCCCATCTTCTCATTCCTACTGCATCTCCCTGCCAACCAGCACAGACCCACTCCAGCAATCCTTATACACTCACTTGACTACCATGGGTGTTTTGGGTGCTTTGAGGAATGCACGGTTGAGCTCCCTATAGCACACTCTTATCCAAACACCTAGACAGCAGCAAGGCTAAGTGGCAGCCAAATAGCATTAGTTACATTAACCTACTCAAGTGAGTAAGGTGATATGGCCTGTGGTGAGAAGTCAGGGACTTTTCAAAAGCCTATGCAGAGAGAGAGAGAGAGAGAGAGAGAGACTCGCTTATTTCCATGTAGGAATATTAGCTGGACTTTAAATTTTCTGCTCATTATTACTACCACCAAATTTCAGTACGGTTCTACAACTTACAGAACATTTTCGTATTAAGTTGATAGAGAATTAAAGTGTGTGGGTTTCAAATAATTACCTTAAAACCTTCAGCCTCAAAAAATATTTCTTTATCCGATCACCCAAGTCAGTTTCGAAGGAACATGTAATTTCTATTAGTTTCATAATCAATCACTAAGTATTCTAAGCTAATTAATACATCTAAAATAATTGTAGTTGACAAGCCTCTTCTAGAGCAAAATGTTTTGTTTTGTTCTACAGCCGAACTGACAAAACTCACAAACCTTAGTCTTTACTCAGGCAAAAATCTCCATTGACTTTTACCTGAGGGAGTTTTACCTAAGAAAGGAGTACAGGATTTGGCCCAAACAGTACATAGATAACTAGCAGTATGTAAATCAGCAAGTAGAGAGACAACACTATTGAATCTGGAGTAGGGAATAGTAGGGGGAAAGTTCTACATTAGCATCAGTGCTTTGTTTTTCAGTTTCCTGGAGAAGGGAAGGCGTGCAAATCTCTCAAAGCAGTGGGTAAACAGCATGTCGTAATATAGAATTGGATCCTCCTCCCTTGAAGTCAATGGGAGTTTTGCCCAGATATATAGCAAACTGCAGAAAAAGTATACAAAAAGGGATGGAGAAATGGGAGAAATATGCTTTATATCTAGGAAGTTACTAAACATTCTGAGCCACAGAAAAAGTTTAGAGGAGGCTTCTCCCCTGCCTTCCCCTTACAAGATAAATTGCTGATTAGTACCTCCACCAGCTGTATCGCAAGTTGCATCAGGATTCACTACCAGCTTAGAGCAGTGGTTCTCAACCAGGGTAGGGCACATCAACTCATCTAGATATTGCCCTAGTTTTTCAACAGGCTACATAAAAATCACTAGCGAAGTCGGTACAAACTAAAATTTCATACAATGATTTTTTATACTGCTCTATATACTATATACTGAAATGTTAGTACAATATTTATATTCCAATTGATTTACTTTAAGATTATGGTAAAAATGAGAAAGTAAGCAATTTTTCAGTAATAGTGTGCTGTGACACTTTTGTATTTTTATGACTGATTTTGTAAGCAAGTAGTTTTTAAATAAGGTGTAACTTGGGGGTACGCAAGACAAATCAGACTCCTGAAAGGGATACAGTAGTCTGAAAAGGTTGAAAGCCACTGGCTTAGAGTATGCAAAGTGAGAAAAAATACTATGCTTCATATATCTACGGTAATAAGAATAGGACTAGCATCCTATGAAACAAATGTCTGAGCAAGTCACATCCTATCGACGGAAGATATATACTATAGGGCTTTGAATTTACTAACTTATAACAAAATAAATCTACAAGGTAACTAAACTCTAGGCATAATACACCTTCTGAAAACGATTAATTACTTCCTCCCCCCCTAATCTAAGTTTAAAAGGAGTTTGAAGACAATGCTACATAATTAATTTACCAATTTATTTTCTGAAAAGATGCTATGCCATAGTGAATATGTAATCATAACCCTGTGCTGAACAAAGATTGCTGGGGAGAGAGTGAATTTCTGTGAACAGTGTGTCAGAATGCAAAAGGTAATTATTTAGTGCTTCTGTTCCCATTAATGATCTAACATTGAGCAATATTGTTTATATTGAAGAAAGATTGCACCTTTAATTACCAATTGTATATACATAATTTTAGAGCCAAACGAAAAGGACTGTGAAAAAGGTCTTTAAGAAATATGTGCACCATTTTTGGCTAGAATTCTTATTAAGTGGGAGCAGAGTGTCAAAATATTAAAACACAAACTAAAGGGAGATGGGACAAAGACCTGCAAAAGACAAAATAAAAATGAGAACTGAATTGAACTAAGGAAAAGTGGTAGGGAGGAGGAAAAATGCCTGTTACCAGGTTCATATAGCATCACTGTTCAGCTTTCAGATTAAATATGTCTCTCAAATTACAAAGGTTTAACTCTGGTATATGTTACTGATAAATAAAAACACATATGGATCTCAACTTTATTATCTTTTTGATGTATAGGATTTTTTCCCCCTGTTGTTTCAGAAAATGTAGCAAAACTGCTTCATTTGATAAGGGTTCTGACTATGCCTGGGTGGAAAATATGAAGTATCTTTTAGTAGTTAGCTGCTAAAATTGTTCAAAATTCCTGCTTTTCAATTCTACAATTAATCTGAATATTAGTTATGTCCACATATGTCTGCTCATTTATACTCTCTCTCTTTTTCCAAGGATTCTGCACTAGTATTTTTTAAAATAACATCTGGTATTCTTTCGTATTTTGGCAGTCTTCACATTACAGAAAATCAGCTTTTCATTTTCTGGGTGCACTAAGCCCTCGTGATCGGTAGTAATTGGGTTCCAAAGTATTCAATAATTTTCACGCCACTGTATTTTTTATTTTAGTTTAACAAATCATCCAGAACAAGATCGGTCTGATAGCTATCAATCCAAAGCGATGTAAAATACACACACGGCTTTCTCCGGGGCCTGGAAATGGTCATAAAATAATGTCAGGCAAAACACTGACTATATCTTCAAATGCATTTTATCCATATCAATTTGCATATTAATCTTTGACTCAGAAAAGAACAAAAAAAGCTCCCTCTCAACAAAGATAAGCCACTAAAAACCTACATTCAAATAGCATTACAGGACAGACAAACTCACAAAGGTAAGGACAGAAAAGGCTAAACGTCCAGACTTAACTCATGTGCCAAGCTTGGATAACACCATAAGTTAAGTCCTCCACCATTTAAGATCCCTGCAGTTTCAACTGGGCAGTTTAGGCCATACTCTGAACAAAAACTCTGACTCTGCTTGTGGGTTTAAAATGAGATGCTCCTTCGCATTATTTGAACTTTGCTTTCTGTGGTTTCATTTCTGTTGCTGGGCTGCTGGGTTTCACCATTACTTAGGTTTTTTTCTAATTATTATTTATTGAAAACAGAATGTTAAAAAGGAGTAAAAGCTGAACCACAAAAAAAAAGAAAGGAACTAAAAAACACCAGCTGCCCTCACATGGAAAAGGGCAAAGTGAAAACTAGTTGCTTCCAGCCAGGTGGGTTAAGGTGTGCCCAGCCTCTCACCACACCCCGATGCATTCTCCAAGTAACCCGTCAGTAATCGCTCACAGGGAATATTGCGATCCATGGAGCAGAGATGGTGTCCAAAGTGGGAACCCTCTGAAACTGGTGTCATTCAATGGTTTCATGTGAATGTATTTAAACAATGTTCATTCACAGCACTGTATTTGTCAGACTCCTAGCGGCATCTCTAAGCACTGTTACTATCTATCGCACCAATCTGCATTAAAAATAAAGTGCTTTTTCATCCAAGACTGTAACGGCTCTATCACAATACCATTGACATTACAATTCTTAGCCTGGTGGCACCATTACAGCATTTATGCACATGTGTATATTTTCCAACACACCATATTAAAATTACTACACCTGCAATGGTTTCTGACTTTCAGATGCTTCAAGCTCATTCATAATACCAAGAGAGTTTCAGCTACTACACCTTGGGCCTGATCCAAAGGCTTTGGAACTCAATTTAAAGACTCCCACTGGGCTTTGGATGAGTCCTATAATAGGGAGTGTTACATTTCTTTCTATATTTTAGTTGTATTTAAGTACTAAAAATACAAAAGAACCCAAAAGCTATACACTGCCCTCTTTCTTATTTTCCCTCCCTTATCGTACAGCATAAAATATAAGAAATGTTAATATATTTTATTTTGTTTAAAGAAGTGGGAGAGAAAAAACTGATCGCAGAACAAGGTCCTGCATGTCAAATTTCTTCTCCATGAACTGTTTCTACAGCTGAGTAGCAAATCCATAAAAGCAGAGGTTGATGGAAACACTGCCACAGCCTTCACTATAGAGGCGCTAGCGGGTGCCCCAATTGCCATGGGTACTGTGAGATCGGTTACCATGTAAATCTTCCACAATCCCAGATGAGCAGAGCTCAGATTAACCAGATCTGACTGCGACTTGTAATGATGAACTGATAAATCTTGCGGCATTTGCCAGCTGCACCCCATCTACAGGGACATTCTACCTTCAAGGGTATGGCAAACGCTCCCTCCTGCCTATGCCCCATGTACGTGGAGTTACCAGCTGCATGATCCATGTGACAGTCACTGCACTGAAACACAGGAAACTCTACAGTGCCTTGAAACCAAATCCCTACTTTTAATGTTTTACCCATTGTCCTGGTAAAAAGGCACAAAGGAAAGACTGGGCCCTCAGGGAAGTGGATTTCAACCTGGGGTCTGCAGACTATGTCTAAGAGATCCGAGAAA